GAATATAGCTATACCAGTATAGTCATACGGGCATAGGTATAAGAATACAGTCTCAAACATATAGCTGTAGGAATATAGTTATACGGTATAGCCATAAGGATTTAGGCATTGAGGTACCAGCATTCCGATCTAGTTCATAGGCTATAGTTATTATAGTGTAGTAACAACATAGGTGAATTTGTAATAATTACTGCGAATTTTAATCGATTTCTAATCGATTCTTAATCGATTACGAATCAATTAAAAACCGATTATAATCATACGCCTTTAATCAATTATTAATCGATTAGGAATTGATTAAAATCAGCCTTAATCACTTTTAATCAAGTAATATAGTAGAATAACTGTTTCTACAATTATAATCGATTATGGCTAATTATAATCGATTTTTAATCAAATTGTAATCGCTTTTAATTCGATTTTTTTTCTCTATTTTTTTACATGGGATACAGTGAAAAGGTCCTAACTTAGTCCAGAAGGAGGTACAAGTGTACAAATCCTCTTAAGTTTGATCATTCTCTTGAGAACCTATTCATACACTAGACAGAAACACAAGAGTAACGAACTAACTCGAGAGACGTCTTCCTTTTTGAAGGAGCTATTCTTTCCAAACTTCATTCGGTCTTCACTGCTACTGATTACAATAATTGTTAGTCAATGTCTGCCAACAGTTTGATCTACCTGGCATAACTATTCTTTTACTAGTGTATTTAGAATTCGACTGACACTGTGTTCTATATAGAAAAGCTTCTAACACAGACTTCATTGGCGATATATATCAGTCCAATTTTCGAGCATGCTTTCTTTCTTTTAGGTGAACAGCTTGTTTCTAAACAATTTTGTAGAATAGGCAATAGATTGGTTTTTCTGTACGGCGTATCATAAATAATTAACCACTTCATGTACTAGAAAACTAAGCCTTTACTGTAGGTATCGATAGAATAGTGGCAATAAGAATTCATAAAAGCGAAAAACGCAGTTTTCTTCATACGCGGAATTCTCCTTTTTCTTCATTCCTTCTTCTCTAGTAGCCTTACTCATTGGAGTTCTACATGTTTCTCTATGAAGACTGTTCAATTGTTGAAACCATATAGTATAATATGTGTTCCATAGTTGCATTTCGTCGTTCAAATTGAGAGAAACAGACAGAAAACATAATTGATGTTTTTCTCCTGTGTTTATAGAACATAGTACCCATACAACTATCGAATATGACTGCCACTTCAATGGCGAGTGCTTCTTTTCTTGACCTACCTGTTGAACTGGTCCATCGCATACTTGATTATTGCGATACTGAGACTATTCTTCGTTCGATTCGTTCGATCAGCCGACAAATAAATGCTATGGTCAACACTTATGATCGATATGAGCTCATTTTGAATTCGAAATCACTCGAGACCATAACAACACTTGTTCGTTTTATTCGACCCGACGGTGTCATTTCATTAACAATCTCTCATGACTGTTGGAAGAGTGATTCGATTGACCGACTTACGACGCTCTTGTATTGCCATCAATTTACTCGACTACGTTCACTAAGTCTTCACAGAATCCACAAGGATTTGGAGCATCTCTTACAACTTTTGAGTACCAAGTCTTTGGCTTCCTTTCCAATAAAATCAAGCAAGGCCAAGTACAGTAGAATATGGACTCTAGTCTCATTAGTATTCTGCCGAAAGTATCATGAAAAATTATCTCTAAGTGATGTACCTTACACAGCAAACATAATTTGGCCAGATCCATGGAAATTAGAACATCTAACAATCGCTAGTTGCGATTACAACGACTATCTGATCATTCTTTGCTGGTTATCTCATTTACGAACTCTCGTCATTCAAGACTACACTATAGGCGATGTGGGTGATGCGCTGGTTTCATCTACTGCATCAATATTTCATCCTTCACTGGAATCTTTGATCATAACTACCTGTTCACTTCGTAAACAAGACTTCAAGTTGCTACTTCCATCAATAGCATCACTTCGCCATCTCAAAATTGTTTCGAAGAAGCAAAGATTTGACTTTATGTTCGAGATCTTTTATTGGGAAGAATTTGTTTCTGATAAACTATTTAAACTAGATAAACTTGAATTCTTCTTCTCTTATCAATATGATGAAAACGACGATTTCATTAGTCTCGAGTCACTCATTGTTCCATTTCGAACTCAATTCTGGGTTGAAACTAAACGTTGGTTTGTAGCCTGTGCATACATTCCAAGATCACATGAGATCTGGGTATATACAACACCTATCAATATCATTGACATCAAGGAATTAGATCGATGTGAAGTATCGTGGATGGACAATATATGTCGTCTGACTGAACAGCCATTGTATAAAATGGTTGACAATACTTCAGATGAGGTATGTGACAAAACCTGTTCGCAACCAGAACTAATCATTGTATGAGAATTGTACAAATACGAGTACGAGTATAAGAATTTCGAATATGATCACATTGGAACATCTATCCAACATCGTTAGAGCATATATGTTGAATATAAATAGTTGTACTTTTGCATAAGATCAAGGGTGGAAGAAATTAGCTATTGGTTTGATTTTCGAAGAAAATAAATAGATGCTTGGTACCACTTGAATATAAAACTTTTATTTAAAGAACGAAAGCGGATAAGGTCGTTTTTCTGTCCTCAACATATTTCATTCTCTTTTGTGTTGAAATCGATCCAGTGGAGACATCTGATAGCATTTCAAAGATTTATTTCGCACCGTCTCTCGATCATTTTTCGAGGCACACCCGTATTCCTCTACAAGGGTAATAAAAATTTGACAATCCTTCGAGAGACTATGTGTGTGACCTGAAAAATTGATCGGGGGATATTGCGAAATAAAACATTGCAATGTTATCAGGAGTCGTCACTGAATTGATTTCAAGATAAAAACTGAAATATTTTGGGAGTAGAAAGCGGCCTTACCTGTCTTCATCTTTTCAAGTGCTTGATACTGCAGTACAAGTCCTTTGAGTATTTTATTCAGCTCTACATTGTATCGTGCACTATCGAAGCTTTAGTTTAACCTTCACTTTTGAAGTTCTGTAGAATCTCTTTAAGGATCGGAAAGAATCTCGGCGAACTCTATTTGGTAATTGATCGAGGTCATAGTTACTGATCAGCTATAAGCTATCGTAGGAGCTTTTATAAACTATCCTGAATTAACTCCTGTTTCCAATAGGCTACAAAATCAATTCTGATCTTCGTTAAATCCTCTCGAGAAAATCGTTAGAAATTCGTGAACTTTCCACAGATGTATATGCTGGACAGCAATTGTGGGTATTTTCAATCCTTTTCTAGTCGAATCCCATGAGAAATCTATTACGATCCTTCTGAAATACTTTCAGTTTCTATATCGTAGGATGCTACTTCATGGTTCTGAAAAATTCTGTTCCACGTCTTGCTAAGATCTATTCCTTCGCTTCTCGCAGAATTTTCAACAAGTCCTGGACTATTTAAGAATAAGAGTGAGGATGGATGGATGGATCGTTGAAGAGACGGGCTTCACTCTTAGTGACCCACTCACCATTTCATCTATTTGTTTATAGATAAGTCTATAAGAAACAATAGGTAGATCCTTCTTTGAAATACTTTCAGTCCTAAATTAGTAAACATCAAGTAGAATTGCTCATAAAAGAACAAATTTAGCCTGCAATAAAAGTAAAGCTCCAATTAATCAATAAATTCATTGGACACTTACAACTTTTATTGTTTCAACGAATTTTTAGATTAAACAAATGAGCTTGTGTCAACTCTATTTATACCATTCGAAAGTTCAAAAACCATTCATCTTCCGCGTAAAAATCAAAGATTTCTACTCAAATCTCACAAATCTATTATAGTTTCCTAAAAATGCTGAGTGGTCGAGTAATAAAATTATTATACATTTTGAAATTGAATAGTGGTGTATATTTTTCAGAAAATTTTCGATAGAAACAAGGCGGAGACCTACCATATTCGCCATTGTAAAGAGGCAATGAAGTGACGATCTGCAAGGTTGCCTCGATCTCGATCTCGGTCACGTTGGCATCATAATCGGGACCAAATTTTGATTTTTACGAGACCGATACTGAGAGCGGGACTTAAAACTTGCTAAACTGGTCCCGATACATTTTCTGTTTAAGAACTAGACTATATATTGTCATACTTATTATTTTGTTCTGACTATAAATGTACAAACAACCCTTTATTATGATTGTGATAAAACCATAGATCTGCGAAATCACTTAGTTTCGATTCTGGACTAGAACTGAAACCATCTTGGAGGTTCCTACTAAAACTAGTACCTATAGTTCTGCACATCCTACGTTTTAATACTATCAAAGTGACGCTTGAGAAAACATTGATTGAAGAACACTCATTTATATTTTTTATCTATGAAAGTGTAAGTTTTGAAAGAATTTTCTAAGTCACACGGCCAAAACCAAGAAAAATTTTAAGTGAGACAATACAAGCGGTTTTATTTCCCTAGTCCTGATGCATACATATAAAGGTATGCTCATACTATTAATTTCTCAAAATCTTCAATGTTAATTTTATATGTGTTCCAAGATTCATATAGATTATTAAAAAAAACGTTTTTGCTAGGAACGAAATTAGGACCAGAAGCAATAAAAGAATTTTAACTGAGACGGGAACTAGGACCAGAAAAAAATGCTAATCGGAATCGAAACTGGAATCGGGACCAAAAAAATGTGGTCCGCCGTTTCCTACAATGAAGGCTCATCAAATCATAGATTTCCGAGTTTTTCGACACGATTTCTTCCGAAGTTCTATATCAAACTTTTCCAAAAAGCGTTCACTGTAATCTCTACTGGATTAAAATGTGAAATATGATGGGGTTAATTTCATCGTTAATGTAGACCTTCGCTATGTTGATAACGGTCCGCGCATAGATCACAGGAAGAGCATGTGGAAAATGTCTGTTACAGTCTGTAGGACGAGATTGATTGCGATCCACTTTTTTTCACTATTAGGAGAAGAAAAATGGAATTGACTTTGTCTTCCGGCTTTCTAGCAGTATGGGGTGCTACATGGCGGCAAATTTAGTAGTCAGATATCTTCTCTTCACCTAATAGTAATTGTAGATCTGGACAGAAAGCCAGTCTAACCGAGTTCTTGTGCTCAACCACTTGAGCTACCTATACACACTGATCAACTACATACTAGTCATGAGGGAAGATGTAGATTACAACGTCGTCCGAGCATGCTATCAGACTGATGATCTGAGACAAAAAGCTGTTAGTCACTTATCGAGAGTCATTCCATGACTGATAGTACTGATGTTCGAAAACAGTACCTTTTGTGTACATGTCGAACAGCGTAGTCATTCAGCTTTCGCCGCTACAATCTCAGTATTAAATTCAACACCCATTTCCAATCTTATTTCACAATACCCTGATTTTTTAAATCGGTTAGCAATGAAGCTTTCTATTTTTTCGGACTGCACCAGAGTCACTGATCAAATTCTAGGTCTATGTAATTATGCCAGTCCATATTTTAAGCATTCACTAAACATGGGTGTGTGATTGTGGCTCTTCTCTACGCATACACCCATCCAGCTTCAAATATTATTATTGACATTTCTTCGGTCTAAAGTCAAATGCACATCGATCGATCTCGATTTACATTCATCAAACTATTTTAAGAATGGATGGAGGCAGATAGAGGTATAGGACAGACCAACATCAATCCTTCCACTAATCCACATTCCCACACACATCTTCTGATTTTTTCCTGCTACGAAGAAGCCTACCCTTGATGAAGAGCGCTGTGGCTAGATGTGTTTCTTCAGAATAACACAGTGGGGAGCACTGTATACAATATGCTTTACAGTGAACGAAAACGATCGCTTTCGCGCTCGTATTTGTCATTTTTAAATGCTAATCAACACGAGCCGCTGCAACTTGGAGAGATCATCGCATGCATGTCTGAGTACTTAGATGTGAGTTCACTCTTCAATAGCACTTGCAGCCATGCCCACACCTAAAAACATTCACATAAGCTAGCATTCCAAGAAGATCATTTTTATTTTTAAGCGATACTCTTTGAAAGTGATAAAAACATGAAACAGAGTGAAGCTTGACTTGATTACTTTTAGGGTCCATTCGATATTGAGTTTGCTACACTAAACACATCTCTCTCAGTTAATTCAAAGCGAAAATCGTAGATCCATCATGACCCTATTTGAAAAACTATTTTTTAATGTAACTCATTATCTGCTGAACTCGGATTAATTTTTTTACCATCTACTCACTAAAACACATTTTATGAAATAAGACATCGCTCATGAACCCCTGGCCGACATTCCCTTTATGTACTCATTTTCTAAGTCATGCTACGCTCTTTGTTTTCTTTGTTAATATATCAGTCAATAGAAATTTAGCTTATTTTTCATCCTATTATTTACCATATATCAGCACCAACTGCACTTTTTCACATAGACATTCATCACACTAGATCTCGCCGGTAATGAAATTGGACCTCTTGGGGCACAACATCTGGCTGATGCATTACGACATAACACGGTAATGCTTATTCTTTCTTCATTCCTATCATATACCCATCTGCATTTTTCACACAGACACTCACGACACTCAATCTCCAGCACAATGAAATCGGAGAGAAAGGTGCACAACATCTGGCTGATGCCCTACGAAATAATACGGTGACTCTTATTCTCTCTACATATCCCTCATATAACCATTTGCACTTTTTTACACAGACACTTACCACACTCAATCTCCAATACAATGAAATTGGAGACAAAGGAGCACAACATCTGGCTGACGCATTGCGAAATAGCACGGTGACCTTCATTCTCTCCTCATCTCTCTTATATAACTATCTGTACTTTTTCACACAGACACTCTCCACATTAAATCTATCCTGGAATCAAATCGGAGCTCTTGGAGCACAACATCTTGCTGATGCTTTATGTCATAGCACGGTAACGCTCATTCTCTCTTCATATCTCTCGAATATGCCACTGCTCTTTTTCATACAGACACTTACGAGACTAGATCTCTCCTATAATCCAATCAGAGCTCTTGGAGCACAACATCTTGCTGATGCTTTACGACATAATACGGTGATCTTCATTCTCTCTTCATCTCTCTCATATACTCATCTGTTATTTTTCATATAGACACTCACTACGCTAGATCTTCAAATCAATCAAATCGGATCTCTTGGAGCACAAGATCTGGCTGATGCATTAGAAAATAATATGGTGACCCTCATTCTTTTATCATCTTTCTCATATACCTGTCTACCATTATTCACACAGACACTCACCACACTGGATCTCCAACTCAATCAAATTGGAGATGTCGGAGCAGAACATCTGGCCAATGCATTACGAAATAACACGGTAACTCTCATTCTCTCTTCATCCCTCTCATATATCCATCTGTACCTTTCCACACAGACACTTACCGCACTACATCTCTCCTACAATGAAATCGGAGGCAAAGGAGCACAACATCTGGCTGATGCGTTGCAAAATAACACAGTGACTCTCATTTTCTCTTCATTTCTCTCATACACTCATCTGTACTTTTTCACACAGACACTCACCACATTAAATCTCTCTTCCAATCAAATCAGAGAAATAGGAGCACAACATCTAGCTGATGTATTACGACATAACACGGTAACGCTCATTCTCTCTTCATTCCTCTCAGATATCCATCTGTGCTTTTCCATGCAGACACTCACAACACTCGATCTCCAACACAATGAAATTGGAGAGAAAGGAGCACAACAACTGGCTGATGCATTACGAAATAACACAGTGACCCTCATCCTTTCTTCATCTCTCTCATATATTCATCTGTACTTTTTCGCACAGACACTCACTACACTAGATCTCAACCAAAATCAAATCGGAGACAAAGGAACACAACACTTGGCTGATGCATTACGAAATAACATGGTGACCATAATTCTCCCTTCATCTCTCATGTATGCATCTGCATTTTTCACACAGACACTCACCACACTCGATCTCCACCAAAATCAAATCGGAGACAAAGGAGCACAACACTTGGCTGATGCATTACGAAATAACACAGTAACGTTCATTCTGTCTATATCTCTCTCTCTTATACCCATCTGTACTTTTTCACACAGACACTCACCACACTAGATCTCCAACTCAATCAAATCGGACATAAACTGGACAACGGTTTGAAGGAACTGATTGAACGAAATATAAAAAACCAAGAAAATTTGGTGCATTCATTTTGAAGATGGTTTAGTGAAGAATTGAAACAACCTAATAAATATGAGACTATGTTTTTTTTTGTTTGAAAAGGACAATAAAGCCTTTTGATTTTCTAGATGATGTGCTTGATAATGGAGATATTGCGTTAGTTTTCGTATAGGGGAAGCATGAAGACATAGGAGTTCTTTTTTTGTGTCATGTTACATATATGATTCTAGTGAAAAGAGATAGTGTACGTTCTTATAATCGATGATTATTTCATATTGGTAAACTTGTGTTAAAATTGTTTCAGCCAATGCAGAATGAAGTAGACTCTTTATTCCAAGATGTTATCGTTAGTGTTCGTCAGTGTGAATGATGATTTGTTCATATGACTTGGAAGAATGATGATATGAATATTCGATTGACCTTATGGTGTTTAATAGTGTGAATGTGAAATGATCAAAAATTCGCAAAAGTTTCTTTTTCTTGTAAACAGAATCTGATTTTCCGATGATTAGTAACCCTAACGATCAGCTGAAAATGCCCATGAGAAATACAAACTATTTCCTCATCGGCGATCACAAAAATATGAGATTCTGTTGTTTTAATTGACATGCAAAAAAGGATTCCGTTGACTATTTGGAGTGATAGAGATGAAGAGATCGAATTAGATGTAGCAGAAGTGTTTCCAAGTTCGATTTATTTGTATCAAAATGTCCGATGATTGCCGAATGTTACTTGATATTATCTTGGATTCTCATGATTTTTGGATGGTAACAGGTGTGAGTGTAGATGTCGATTTTCTCTTAATTCACATCTACACTCTCATTGACAGTTTGTGGAGGATTAACAATACTGTTTGTTGTGAATAATGTTAGGGTGGCAAAAAAAAGAATGTGCCTCTCTAGAAGAAGTGAAATGTTACCTCCTCGGTATTATTATGTCTATCGCTCTTCGTGAAGTTCTCTCTCGACAGTCTTTCTGATCTTGTTGTTTTTCTTTCTTTATATCGCCTTTATTACTTCATTATTTTATTCTTATTTTTATTTTAATGCTGTCCAGTACTCGTATCCACAGTCCTAAAGCTCCATCGTTCCTTTAGAACTGATATGATCACAGAACCAAAGAATACTAATAATAAAGTTGTCCATATGAACATCATGTCAAACTATTGATGGATCTATACACAATGTTTTTGTCCATAATTGCGAATGACTCGGATATGCGTATTGATATAACATAATTTTATCATTAACAACTGATTACACTAATATGAAATTATTATAATGAAAATCATCGAACATAATACTCATTATCATCATGAACAGGTTCATGTAATGTTTTTTGCATATTTCACAATGCGATAGAACTTAATCAGAAGATATTTGACGAATTTCATTAACAGATTAATTTCAATAACAATTTAACTCTGTAAATACATAAAAGAATTAAATAATATGAAATATCTTTTATTAAAATCGAATAAATATCTTGTTTAAATTTTAAAATCTTTCTTATAATTAAATAATATCAAAAATGATATTTGTAAAGATTATTTAGGAGAAATGTTTTCTTTGTCAATACACAATAAATAGTTCATTAGTTATTTTTGCAATCAACTAAATTAATCTGAAAAGATTTTACATTTTCAGCTGCATAAAACTGTTATGATCTCTTCTAAAGAATGAAAGAATTCAATTAGAATATTAATCAGTGAAGAAAAAAAGTCAAACGTAAGTATTTGGTCAATGTAAATTTGATAAAAACTAAATCATTCATCATTAATTAATTAAATACCAATTTGAGGAAAATCGTACTGATAGCAATGATTTTTCTGAGGAAAGCAATACCAAATCGTTATGAATCCTACTTAGTAGAAGAAAAGTGATTATATCATATTTAATCGCGATGATCGAATAACCAATGGATAATTCGCTATTTAATCAATAATTTCGCTCATCGATTGGAAAAAAAAGGCAATTAATCAACTGATTTCTCTTAGAGTTGTCAAATCGAGCAGTAGTAAGTACATATGTTAAACTTTTTTGAAGCATATTCAGAAAAATTTGTAAGTAGTTAAAAAGCAGTTGAATTTTCCATATGAGTGTCGCTATCCTAGTGAAAATATTGCTTGGCGAATATACATAATGTACTGACAGTAGAAAATGCAGCAACGACCCATTGAAACTTAACACTCATGAGTAATAAAAAACAGTATACGTGTCACAATCTGACAATCCGAATATGACAATCGGCTAGAGTGTGACTATGCGTGCGACTCTAGATGTAGGTTTAAGTGTAGGTGGTGGCAGATGTGACTGTGTGTTAGGACCTTCTTATCATTCACACTCACACTTGTCTCCAACTTGGCGGACTCTATTACTCATATATAGACTTTATTGGCATTTTCAATAAGATTCAATTGAATTGGTGGCATCAAGGACATTTAAAAAGTACCACTCGTAGATCAATATTTGACTTGATGAATACGCAATATAATTTTATTTCATGATTAACAAAGACATACATCCTATTAAAGTTGACTTGGTTTGACATTGTTTGTAATGTTTCGAAAAGAATTTAAATGATCAGTTGAACAAAACATTCCTTGTACAATGAACTTATTCGTCATGTGTTATTAAAAACTTTTTTCTTTCTTTCGCTTAATCAATATGAATGACTTTCGACAGTCAAAGATTATTCCTTCATAAGAAATTATATATCTTATTCAAGAGACAGAGTGATAGTAATATTCTTGCAATTAATCCAAAATAATACTAGAAATGATGCAAAATAATGAGAAATGGAAAACTAGTTAAATATATCTGACTAACTATAAAAAAAAAGAAAAAGAAAAAAGCGATTAAGTTCAGATATCATCAATTTTAACATGAACAAATATTGTTCCATGAATATAATCTCCATTTTTGGCTTTTAATTTAATATGTCTATAACCCAATTGAAGTACATTAAATGGTATACAAGCTTGTCCAATAAATGATGAACCACCATGTCGATCATGATCACGTACTTGAAAAATAACAAGACATAATTCTGGACAATAAATATCTGCTGTTATTTTATAATCCCATATTGGATTTAAACCATTATTACGTATTGATGGTGTACGATGTTCTGTATAATCACATTCAATACCATATGTACAAATTTTAACATATGGATCCGATATATCAGGATCATCAACTGAGTTATTTTCTTTCGGTAAATGTTGTCCACTAATAAGAAGAATTTGTAAACGTTTTCCTTTTTCATAAAATTTTTCTTTTGGATCATATGATGGATCCTTTCCTAATAAACATGGCGGTTTTAAAAGATAACCACATCCACCATTATCACTAAAAAATCCATGTTGAAGACACATGGATTCATCATTTGTTTGATAATTAAGTGCAACCATTTGAATCCCTAAATGAAATCAAAAAATTTCTTATCTATATCGAAGAAAGCAAATAAGAAAATCATTTTCCTACCATAAGTCCAATAAAATAATGGATGCATATTACTTGAATTCTGTCGTATTGTTCCAGGATAAACACGTACTAAATGATGTTGAGTTAATGCAATAAGATCAAGATGATGTGGTACTTCTACAGCAATTAAATCATCAGCTGTTGATTCTTTTAATGATATTGAATGATAACATTTTTCTATGTAATACAAGAAAAATTTATCATCTAATTTGTTTAAAAAGATTGATTACATACGAGTAGATAGTGTCTGTGGTATACTAGTAAACGAAACGTTTTGACAATAAATTAATAAACTAGCTAAATCAGGATGATATTCCTAAAAATCTCATAGAAGATTAGTTAAAAATAAACAAATGAGTTTATTACATTAGAATTTTGTTCAATTTGATTACTGATTCGATTCAATTTTGTATTAGTTGTTGTTTGTCCTTGTGAATGATGACGGCTCTATGTTATTCAAGTATATATGTATACATATATAATAAAATGACAAAAAAAGAAATTTTATTATTATTACTCTAATGATAACTTTATATTTCAATTGTTCAGGTGATGGTAACGTTTGAAAATCTTCTATCAATGGTTTAGATAATAACTGATCTATTATAAACGAAAATTTCATATATGAATATAATGATTAAAAACGTTTTCTTTTTTTTTTGTTCACTTTTAAAAGTATCTTTTAAAAGACGTGCTATAACACCTTGCTGTTGATATGAACAACGATTTTCAAGATTTAAAAATAATGGATAACTAATTTAAAAGAAAAAATCAAATTTATTTCTAGAATTAACTTTCATAAACCTACGGTGAAACAGTAAATGCTTCTAATGCAATAGCATTCAAAATGTCTTGAAGTTTAATTGGTGTAGTTAATGTATTTCCATGATAAACGATCGGTTCCATATTATCACCATCATAACAATCGACTAATTATTAAAAGAATCCATTGAGTCAGACAAAAACAAAAAAAGAAACGGTCGCTTACTTTCAACTGCTCGACAACCAGTTCTTAATGCACGTACATAAGTTTCAGCCGTACAATCACCATAAACTTGATAACCTTGAATATAACTATTAACAAAAAATAAATATGAAATTTTTTGTCAAATAATTTCTTTTGTTTTTTGTTTTTTATTCACTCACGTATTATGTGATGTTGCAATAAAATAATCAGTAATTGGTTGTGTCATATCTTGATATATACGATGAATTTTATCTGGATTCATAATACAGAATTCATCATGAAGTAAAAGTAAACGAAAACCATCAACACCTATTTCCTCACATTGACGTCCTTCGATTGATGGTTCAAATCGAACAATTAATCTTGAACAATCTTCAATTGATAAAGCTTTCATATGTTCTTCTTTTTGTAGAAAATCTTTTAATTGTTCAATTGTTAAAAAATTCTTTCTTACAGCTCTATGTGATGATAGAGTACTTTCAGGTGTTATTGATGATGAACGTCGACGCAAATTTGATTTAACATGTTTATTTTTGGAATTTATTGATTTTCGAAGATTTAATGGTTGAGAATTATTACGTGT